ATTGGCTGTGGATCATTTGCTGCAGTTTGTTCTAATAGAACGGGCACAATGGTGTAAGAATTTTAAAGTTTAAGCACCGGAGCCATTGTGTAATTGTATGGCATCCGTGTGGCCGTTGGCCCTGCATTCATGTGGTACCCCTGTGTAATTGCCCATGCAAATTTAAGCAATCTTTAACAGACAGGGACACCAGATCCTGGCACTGGGCTGCAAAATATCAATAGTTGTAGGAACTTTTCTTTAAATTTACTTTTGTAATCTTTACAATGCTATATGGTCAGGTCTGTCCCAATATCCCCCTAACATAGGCAAACGCCACAGACTGAGACAAGGGTAATGAATTAAATAGAGTCAGAATTTAATTTGTTGATGCAGCCTTAAATTATCCTGCATAAAAGAAAGAGGGAATTATTATGCCAGGACTTCAGTGAAGCTTTAAGCATGTTATTTTAAACAAACAAACAAAAGATATTTACCCCTCTAAAAGCAGATTGATTCAAAGATGCAGATTAGTCTTTTGTGAAAGGGACAGGCATTCTCTAATGTAGTATTCTTACAACGAGAGACCAGCCGGGGAATCTGTACACAGACAATGACTCCCACCAACTTATTTAAAGACATAGTTCCCTTCTGCTGTGCAAAATAATAGTTAGGAAGCAAATCAGTAGGGGATCTCTTATAGATGATTATCCATTGAGGAAAAATGAAAAGAGGAGTCCCCCCGCCCCCAGGGAATGAAACCCGGCAAAACTTCACCTCTTGTTCTATACTATGCGACTTAAAAAAGAAAAATTGTCTAAACATGATACCTTCTAAACCAAAGTGAGAGAGAGAGAGAGATTATAGTACTACTTACACAGACACATACAAAGTGAACACGGGGATCAGCGATCGTCTCACATAATTTCACAGCAAATGCTTCATTTATTTATGAAACGGAGTATTCCCATACTAGTATATACATCCAAATCATTGGCACAGGTATGCTACACAGATAAATAACTTTAGAGTTGCTGAGTGATGTAGCAAACATGCAAGAACATTCACAATTAAGTTAGAAAAGATGTATGACACCAAATTACTGGCGGAGGATAAGGTACTATAACACCATGTAAGCAAGCACCAGGCATTGCTAAATCCAAGTACCCCGGAGACACCTCATTTCATTTCTATACATTTTATTCTACTAATGCTCGCTTAGACTGATTTCAAAATATTGCCCTTCTCATAGCCAGATACAACTTTAAGTTTCCTGGTGCGGTTGAATTTGGGGAGTCCGGAAAAGGCCATGCGTTTTCAATTCCTGTTACTCTGAAGCAGACAATGAAACTTCGCTACAGAGACAAGGTCAGAGTTTTTTGGCTCCCAAACTTAAGTTTTGGGTTTTTGCTTCAGTTTCCCGATTTAGATTTCTGCCCCAAGCTCAGAGCTCTGTATTTGTTAATGTTAAATTTAAGTCTTCCCTTCATAGGTGTAGGTTTCTGTCCTGCTTGAGGGAAATTGCTTTGCACTATTACTAGGAAGGAAATAGTTTACTCTCTCTGCAATTCATAAGATAATGTTCTTATTAGAAAGCGTTTCAAGGTTATTTCCAACCCATCGTGCTTGTGAATATAAAATCCCTGCAACTGCACATACAGGAAATGCACATGTAGTACCGTCTTAAACTTCTCTCCAGGCCTTTTACAATTTTACTTCTGATGACCTGCCACTTCAGGGATAAGGATGCTATGGGATCATCTACAATTGTCATGTATGAAATAAAAAGCTATCTATAATTTTAAATGTGTACTGAGGCAGATTCAGAAGTATTTGTAGTAAGGGTAGGTTTAAATGTACCCCGTATATGTAACTTCTTGTCTTCAGTTAGAGGATAACTTCTCTATGCTTGCTGTTCTTTTACGTAGTCAGTAAATAAATCAATAAAAATATTTGCAACAATCTTAAGTTCAATTCAGGTTTGTCCTTTGGTATGGAAAATAATAGACTAAAAGTCAGTGTTTTTATATACTAGATGGGAAACCCAGGACTGGGTGTGTGTCAGGATTACAGGTCCAGCCCGTGGCCAGGGTGGCCTCCTGTGCACTAGATGTCGCCCTTCACAGTATGGTAGGCTGTCCTTAGCAGGGCTTGATGACTATCTGGTAGGATGTGTATGTATTCTCTGTACACAGACTGATGAGAATAAATACCATATCTGAAAAAAAAATGCATCTCATACAGAAAGAAAGATAAAGCCCACATCACCTGGTCAGTCGGACGTGTTTTTATATAAAAAGGCTCATGTTGCAAATATTCCCCACCTGAAAATAAACATCAGGAATCATGAATAGGAACGCTTCTCTCCTCTCACCCTTTTGGGAAAGAAGAAAGGACACCATAGGAGTCACCCACAAGTACCTCACATTATTAGAAAATGATACATTTAGAAAGGGGATTAAAAGTACAGCAAGCTCCCGAGTTCCACCTCTAACCCCTAGCACTGTTGTTCCCAGGCAGGGTGCTCCCCTCCCCTCCCACTGCTTCCTGGTCCTGGAGGAGCACACCATGGCATTAGTCAGCACTTTCTGCATTTTGACCCACAATAGGAAAGATACCTTGAGACAGGAGAAATAGATGGAGGCAATTACAAACAGCCGCTTGATTGATGGTTGACATTGTCAGGGCCCCACTGTATGGCAGATTGCAATGGTGGTGAACTCTCTTTGCTACCAGTGGATGTTGCTATTGGCAACCGTGCAGTGAAGCCAATAAAAAGGCAAGAAAATGAGAGGAAAACTCAACCTTAGTGGAAGCCGTAGGGTGTGTGCTATAAATTATATCCCCCTTATCAATATGCAGCATCAACGTTCAGGATGGTTACTGGGCTGGTAGCTACCTGCAGTCTCTGTCAGAACTCTGGGTCCAGTTTTTTCAGAAAGCATGTGCTTTAAAATTTCTGCTCTAGAAGGACTGGCATCCGTCTGCCTGGGCTATTTATTGTGTGTATGTTGGGTGGGAGTGGAGGTGGGGAGGGTAACAGATGTGGGCTTATCCCTGCCTTGCGCGGGCTGATTTCTCAATTCCCATTTGTGGTGTAAACGTGATGTGGATCAGTACCCAGAAACACCTGCAGTGCTTCCAGAACTGCAGATGCGTAGGTTCTGGCAGACTGGGGGCCAGTCCCTACCCCACCCACCCTTTGTTCCTCACCTGAAGGAAGGGAGACAGGCTGGCAGAAGCTATTTTCCTTTATAGCAGAGTGATTCAGAAAACTGGTGTAATAAAATCTATAAATCTCAACAACCTCCTCTTACCTGCTCTGTAGAGGTAATTTTTCCTGCACTCATTTTCTCCTCTCCTTTCGCCTACCTTCCCCACAGACAGCTGTAAAGGGTAGCTAGGGACATTATTTTTCAGGGTGCCGACTCCTTCCATCTTCCCTTTGAAAAGCACTTCCCGGCACAAGTCTCTCTCTTTTCTAAGCAGCAGATGGCAGGAATGGTCTCCACCCCCATTTTCCCCATTGCAAGTCCCCTTTCCTTTGTTGTGAGGGACTCTCTCAGTTCCATGGGAAGTTCTCTTCCCACTTGCTCTGGCTCCTGTCTTTCTTCCATCGGTCCTCTGGCTGATGGACCTGCCTCCTCTTCCCGCTTCCATTTTGGTCCCTTAGTTTGCCCATTCATTCTCCAAACATTTCCTGAGTGTCAGCTATGTCCCAGGAAAACAATGACCTGTGTGGAGCGTGTCCCTAATTTCGTTAACATCTGAGTAGAAAGAGAAAGTCAAGAAAGGCTCCTGACCCACGAGGAGAACAAAGCTGATTGTAAAAGCTCAGACTTTTCAGAGTTGGAAAGGCCCTTCGGGGTCTTCTGGTGGAGGGATTTGCAAATTCCACAGAACTCCTTCAGGGACCACCATGCGTGTAATCAGAGAGATGGGTCCAGATGCCCCAACCATGCCTCCAAAAAAGGAATTCCGCTTTTAGGTATTTTGTATCTCGGAGATCTCTTGCAAGATTTAGCCCAATTGCACGGCTGCCTAGGCCATGTGTGCTTTTGCCTAGATACATCTCGAGTATTATTTCTTACCCTGAAGGTGGGGGGAATCCACAGTAGATCCTTTACGTTGCTGATCGGTCCAGCCCTGATATTACACACTCAAGCTCACCACTGGACAAACTGAGCCGAGTCCTCATTGCTCGGTCTGCGTGGCCCTGCTGAGTCTTGTGAAATGCCTACCACTGTTGGAAAACAGATCCTAAAATATTCATGTGCTACTGAGGTAAAGCCAGCTATTGATTTTCTTTCATCCTCACTTTAATTAAGGTCTATTAATCCATTCCGCTGGGGAGAAAGCTGGATCTACCCTCAAGGTTGAATTGAAAACTCGGAAATGGAGGACCACACAAACACATTTCCCCTCCTCCTACTGCGGACATCTGGCAGGGGGGCGTGGGGGGGTGTCCATCACGAAGAATCTCTGGATTCCAAATAAAACACCTCAATAGACTACAAATCGGGATTCTTGGGACAGACTGGCACAGCGGGGTGGTCTCTCTCAGGGAGGGGGGCCAAAGGCAGCCAGTGATGGCTTGGAACACATAGAGAGCCGCGTACAAAGGAAGCAGCGCTAGGGACGGCTCACCCCTCCCGGGTTTGCATCGAACAGATAGACAGGCCTCGGGTCCTGGCACTCAGATTGTCCCCTGCACCCACGGAGCCCAACCTGGTCTCAGGCCGAGGGCTCTTCGGGCAGCCTCAGGGGCCGTGGGGGGGGGTGGTGGTCCTGGGGCATGCCCCCGCCGCGCCCCGTCCTTTGTCCTTCCTGCCGACTGTCTCTCTCTCTCCCTCCCTCTCCCCGCCTCCCCTGCTGACCACACTTCAAGGGGAAAGCGCAGGCCCGCTCCCCCGCGCGTCCCCAAGCCTTGGGTATGCGCAGAGATGCTCCTGCTGAGGCAGCCGGCCCTGCGGGCTGCAGGCGCGGGGCAGCAGTGGGGCGCAGCAGCCGGCCGCCAGAGCTCACTTGGGGTCCCGCGCCGCTGCCGCCGCCGCTGGGGCGCTGGCCGGGGAGGGCTCGGCGGCCGGAGCGCGCAGCCGCTGCCGCCGGTGCAGCTCTTCCCACTGGCTTCTGTTCGCGGCCACCAAGTCCAGCATGGGCTTCAGTTTCGCATTGACCTTCACCAATGCCTGAAGCAAAACAAACAGAGGAGAGGGAGTCACTGACAACATCCTCCAGGTTCCATTTGTGAGGACACTGGGTCCCGGTGGACCAGCTCCAAAGGAGGGTGGCAAGACGAACCCGATGCACGGACTTTGCCCCTCGGCTGGCATTCTCTGCAGACCATGCAGGGGAAAAGGGACGAGTGTGCACAACTCGGGGGGTCGCCGGGCACACGGCTCCAGAGCCTGTCTTTCTGGCTGCACCAGGAGGGACAGGCAGCACATATGTGTGTTTTTGCCTGTTAGACAGGCAGACGTCTCGTCTCCCTAGGCCGTGAGCCGTACATTTTTAACAAAAAGCAACCTAGCAAGTGCTCCCTTACAGATGAGTTAGCCGACTAAGAATGATCAGCCGCAATCCGTGGAGCTGGTGTTCAAAGCTAAGGAGCTGGGAGCTGGGCTATAGCTACACATTAGCCTGGGCACATGTAAAACGAGACAGGGAGAAAGGAAAAAGGAATATGAAGGCGAGTAACTGGGAGTTGCAGGACAGATGAGGCAAGAAGAAATTCAGGGGGTGGCCAGAGGTGAACTGGCCCTAGTAAGTCCAATGCTGCGCAGGCTTCAGGGCCCTCACTTGCCCCAAACCCAGAAATGCATCTTAGTGGTTCATCGCAGCCCTGTAGAACAGCCCCGAAGCACTTCCAAACAGACTGTCCATTTTTTCTGCTTGGAGGTTACGGGCTGGGTTGCTAACTGCCTTCAGCTGCTCTGCAGGAGAAAGAGGAGGCTTTCTACTCCTGTAAACAGTTACAGTCTCAGGAAATCCAGGAGCAGCTCTACCCTGTCCTGGGGGTTTGTTATGAGTACGAATTGACTCGGTGGCAGTGAGTTTGGTATGGTTTGCTTCACGCTCACAAAACCGAGATTGTCCTTGGCAGTGGAATGAGAGCCCTTGATAGGAGATGCTGCATTTGAATTTGAGTAATTCTGCAGTTGCCACACCAGAGGACTACTGGGCTAGGTTAGTGGTGGGGGTTCCTTCCACTAAACCAGGAAGCACAGATTAAACAACAGAAGAACATGCTGTTTTACTGATTATTATTATTTTAGTTCATAAAACTGGGCTCCTAATCCTTTGCTGAGCACATAAAACGGTGTACCGCTTAGGAGAACTGTGTGTGTTTCCTCAAAAAGTTAGGTTGGGGTTACTGTTTGAGATGGCAATTCTACACCGTGCTAAATACCTAAGAGAAAAGAGGGCTTTAACAGATGCAGGGACACCAACGTTCCTTGCAGCACTATTTTCAACACGTGGAAACAGTCCAAATGCCCATCACCAGATGTACGGACAAACAAATGTGGTATCAAACGCTTAATGGAAGATTCAGCTCTAAAGAGAAATGAAGTCCCGACACAAGCTGTGATTTAGCTGGAAAGCATTATGCTCAGTGAAAAAAGCCAGACACATAGGAGAAATGCCGTCCAATCCCTCATATGTGGAATAACTAGAGCAGGCCAAGGCTTAGACACATAAGTTTATGAGTAGTTTCCAAGAACTGAGGGGCAGGGAGGAGGAGGAAATAGAGAGTTATTGTTGAACAGGATGCTGAGATTTTGTTGAGGGTGATAAGGAACAGTTGGGGATGGATAGTGGCCATGGTTGCCTAACACATCAAGTGTAATTAAGGTCACAAATTTGTCGTACACTTAAAACATGGTTAAAAGAACATTTTTTTTATATATAGTACATATTTTATCAGAATAAAATGAAAAGTTATAATTTCTTTTCAATACATGGATGTCTACATTTTCTTCATTTAAATTATTTTTCATTTTATACAAAGAAAGACTTCAAACCTCCTTAACCAACACAATGTGAACAGGAAAAACAATTCTCCATCTATGACACACTTTTATGCTAAAAAATCTGAACATTGGCTTGTATGAATAAACCCACCTTTGCAAAAGACTTTAAAAAAAGAGGTGGGAGAATGATTTTCTGGATACCACAATTGAAAAACATGAGATTTTGATGACAGTTTTATCTTTTTAAAACATGATTTTTGGCCTTTATCCTTTTGAAACATGAGTTCATTTTGAGAATAATGCTTTTCTCTCCCTTTTTTAGTTATGTTTTTCTGAAGTTATATGTGTTAATTTTAGAAAGGATATAAGTAATAGTAAAAAGAAGTAAATGAAGATGACATGCAACCCACCACTCAGACAGAACCATTATTAACTTTTGGTTGCCCACCTTGAGTGGGATTTTCTATCATCTAGAACAGATAATAATAGGTTCAAATTAGCCCAGGGATATAGTTAAAGTTTGTGCCAACCTAGCCAATAAACACATGTGGGGTTAATTGAAGGGCAGAGGGATCAATGGCTCAGTGAGCCTCGCCTTTCCAGTTCTCAGGTCTCTTGCTTTGTGATGGTCAGACCAGGGTGCAGCTGCCTTAGCCAGTTCCCTGCCTCAACTGACAAGGCTCATTTCCTGCAAGACATCCCTGAGGAGAAGCCACATGAACCTACCCCGATGCAGCCCTGGGTACTGGAGCAGCCATGTGGAGACCCCTGCCAGCGCTGAGAGGCTTACACGTTCACTGATTCGGCTTTCCTCCTGCAGTTGGCATCATAGTGTGTGTTTTGTGAGATGGAGGAGGACTTTGTGGATTGGTGTCAGACATATGGGTTAATGTTGGACTTGTGGGCTTGGGCAGCACTGGGTTGGGATGTTTTCTTGAAGTGCACTTAATGTTTATATAAACTCTCTCTTATATCTGAGTTTCTGTGGATTTGTTTCTCTAAAGTACCCAGACTAGCACACCAAGGATCTAAAATATCTTTACATGGTGTTATTTTTATAGTAGCATTTCACAAGTGAACAGAATTGAATACAAACATTTGGATTAAAAAAAATTTACCTTTGGTTATATGTCTTCCCAGACTCCTATTTTTAAAAACTCTTGTTGTTTTGAGTGAAGGTTTATGGAGCAGATCAGCTTTCCATTCAACAATTTATATACCTTTTGCTTCATGCCCTTGCAATCCCACAATGTACATTACTTATCTCACTTCCTCCCTGTGTTTCTTGCTTCCAGGTCTTCATTCTGAACACTTTGGAACTTTGTCCTTGGGCTAATGCTGTACTTTTTATCTGAAACAGTTGATTATTTCAGGGTGTGTACCTACCTAGTGATATTGTCTTCCTTAAAGACCTGTCTATTGTTGCTGCAAAGAGCCCTGGTGACATAGTGGTTACGAGTTAGGCTGTTAACCACAGGGTTCACAGTTCAAAGCCACCAGCCACTCTGCAGGAGACAGAGCTTTGTACTCCTGTAAAAGAGTTGCAGTCTCAGAAACTCATAAGGGCAGTTCTACTCTGCCCTACAGAGCCACTGTGAATTAGAAAGGTTCACAGTTCAAAGCCACCAGCCACTCTGCAGGAGACAGAGCTTTGTACTCCTGTAAAAGAGTTGCAGTCTCAGAAACTCATATGGGCAGTTCTACTCTGCCCTACAGAGCCACTGTGAACTAGAATTGACCCAATGATAGTGAGTTTGGCTTTTTGGTTTCATTGTTGCTCAAAACTGAGCCATGGAGGTGAGTTCATTTCTAGACTTGACGGGTGACTAAAGTTCCCACTAGTCTTTTTTTAAATTTTTTTTTATTAAAGATTAAAATTTATATATATATATATATATATATATTTTTTTTTTTCAGTGTCAATACATTTTCATTCTTTTTTTAAATTTTTTTAATTTTTTTTCTTTTTTAAAACATTTTATTAGGGGCTCATACAACTATTATCCCAATCCATACACACATCAATTGTGTAAAGCGCATTTGTACATCGTTTCTCAAAACATTTTCTCTCCGTTGAAACCCCCAAAATAAGGCCCCAATTTGTCCCCTCCCTCCCCGCTCCCCCCTCCCGCATGAGCCCTTGATAGTTTATAAATGGGTATTTTGTCATATCTTGCCCTGTCCGACGTCTCCCTTCATCCACTTTTTGGTTGTCTGTCCCCCAGGGAGGAGGTCACACACAGTTCCATGTAATCGGTTCCCTCTTTCCTACTCATTCTCCCTTTACCCTCTCTGTTTTGCCACTCATACCACTGGTCCTATAGGGCTCATCCATCCTGGATTCCCTGTATTTTCAGTTCCTATCTGTACCAGTGTACCTCCTCTGGTCTAGCCAGTCTTGCAAGATAGAATTCGAGTCATGGTAGTGGGAGCGGGGAGGAAACCTTTAGGAACTAGAGGAAGGTTGTATTTCTCATCATTGTTACATCGCACCCTGACTGGCTCATCTCCTCCCCGAGACCCCTCTGCAAGGGGATCTCCAGTGGCCTACTAATGGGCTTTGGATCTCCACTCTGCACTCCCCCCATCATTCACTATCCCACTAGTCTTTATCCAACCAGTAAGCTAGGTCTTTTTTTTTTTTTTTCTTCAAATAATTCTGAGTTTTGTTCCACATTTCCTCCTCCTCTATTTAGGGGAATGTGATCCCTTTCAGAGAAGTTGATAGTAGTAGCCACGAACCATCTCATTTTCAGAGCTGTTGAGACTGATGTTCATGTGGTCCATTTGCCCATTGGATCCATTGTTTCCGTACATCTTCAACTTTCTTCATTCTTCCTTCTAGACAGTAGGAGGCCAATCATTGGCCAATAGGCACCTTAGATGGTGGCTCATGAGCCTTTGAGACCTCATCATCACCAAAGTAGGATGTAGAACATTGTCCTTGTGGGCAGTGTTATGCCAATTGAACTTTGTGCCCCCAAGAGCATGGTCCTAAGCCCCCAGGCCCAATGGATAATTTCCTCAAGTTGTTTGGGTATGTCTAATCCGTTTTCATAACTTTGCTCACTGTGAGAGTATATAGATTTTTTTTGAACTTTTATTGTGAATGAAGCGAAGGTTTATAGCAGAGGTTCTCAAATTATGGCCCGCAGGCCACATGTGGCCCACTGAGGACATTTATTTGGCCCGCCGGCTGTTTTTGCCCCGTTTTGTTT